CGCTTGCCCAGGCTGCCAGGTCTTCACTGCTGCCGGGACCTGCACAAGTGAGGGGGATCGGCATAGGCGGCAGGGAGGAGGCAGGATTCTCTGACCAAAGGACGGACTCCAGCCGTGCCGCCAACCCTCCCCCCATTTCCCAAGCTCTGACATCAGTGCTCAGATAGCGAAGCAGGCAACCCCCAGCTTCCCAGTGCCAGCCCTCGGCGGGCCATTGTTCCACACGCTGACTAGCAAAGGAAACCCCGCACTGCGTGGCTGAGGCTGATAAGAGGGAATGTTCCAGGAGAGCTGCTCCCTGTCCCGGGGTTACTCAGCCTCCCCCTCCGAACATGAGGGACCGAGGCAGAGCCCCCCGGGCCAGCTGAACGTGGTCTGGGGCAGGCAGATGGGAACACTGTTATTCTGCGCTGCTGGTCCCCTGGAGGCCTACTGGCAGTGCCCGGTGCTATATACCACACTCAGCAACAGTCTGCTAACTAGACTGAGGCGCTAAATATGCAGACAAGGAAAACAAAGGGACAGAGGGGAAGAGATCCCCCAAGGTCCGTCAGCTGGGGATGTTACCTTGGTCTCCTTACTGCCCTGCCAGCTCCTACCCCCTAGGCCAGCTGCTTCTGAGAGCAGGCGGGAGCCTTCTGCCTCCGCACTCCGCTGGGATTATGTGTAAGGAGCCTTGTGACCGCAGCAGTGAAAGCGACTGGTCAGCTTTTCGCCCCCGGAGAGCAGCGACTTGGCCGGCCCCTTGGCTCTAGCGAGCGTGGGACCGGGCCATTTTAAACGGGTGCCAGACAGCGTGGACGCACCAGCTGAGCTGCATGTGGTTTGTGTCACTTGCCAGAGTAAGAACAGCACTGTCACCCGGGGTTCAATCAATGTAGCGACACAGCCGCAGAGCTGAGGGTCCCTGTGCTTCGGCTACTCCCCCTTTGTCAGTGAACACACACGCAGCCTGCCCTGTGCTGGACTGTCTGGGACAGGGGCCTAGTGCCCCACGTAATGGAATGAGGCCCCAGG